TACTTTACAACTAGGTATAGTATGGGAAATAAGTAGGATTCGAATACCGTTTTAACAGCCCAGGCTATTAAATCCCGACTCAAATCACACCCTTCATAACACCAACAATTAAAACCGCACACCTTTCCTACACTCTAGTATTTCCTTGGCATATTCAACGGTTTGCTGCTAACTAAGCAAAGACGCCGCGCCTATGGCAGCTTTCTTTGTCTCTGTGCTAACGGCTCAGTGACAAAGGCTCATTTACATGTGTTAGACAAAGAGCGCTTTGTGGCCCTGACTACTGCGCTGTTTCCGCCCTGTGGTCAACTCCGCCGCATTCTGTCCGTCTGTCCGTCTGTCTGTCTGTCAGTCTACTCAGAGTGAATTAGATTAGACGTCTTCAGCTGCCGGAACGCGACTTCTTGATGTATTGTTGGCCGACCGCGACTGCGCGTCACGGTGACACGACCGATGACTAAATTACCGACCCATTTCACTTTTGCGGAGTTTTTGAAATGTTTTAAAAAGCCCTTTTAAATTAGGATTTTTGGGGGGAAATTAGGTTTTTTACTGTAACTAATCAATCTAGCGTGTTTTAATTTTGACGTGCATCAACTGTAATTCAATTTGAAAGTTTTTTGTAAATGAGAGGAATATTTCTCCACATGTTTCAAAATATTTTCGTGTAGTGCTCACTTAACAATAAAAAGGTTGACGAATCAATTCTGGGAAAAGTCAGTAGCATTTTCATGGTTCGAGACTGGACCCAGCTGTCTCTGATCATTGGACCTAAATCAATGATCCCGGTTAATGATACTGTACATATGCTATTAGTAACATCGCTACAATGATTATCTCACACTATTCTACACTCATCCTTCATTCATATTTGGGTTATACGTGTGGCGTCCCCATTACAACTGATGATACAGTAGTAATAATAGTGAATATCCTTTTTGGGACATAATATTCAGGAAAGGGTGTGTATAAAAAGAATAACTCGAACATTAGGTCCTTTCCAGATGATCATACTCCATATATCGTTGTAAAATATAAGATGGAAAACGTCCCCATAAAATCTTTGAAATAATACCAACTCCGAAAACTATGAAGTCCCGTGGTATAATTTACACGAGGAGTAACTCGGAGCAATGGTCAGACGCAAGGTGGGCTTGGTGCCTCAGGCGTCTGTCTGTCAGTCAAAGCTTGATTAATTTTTATTGAAAGCCGCCGTGGTCAGTGCAGCAGGTGCCAGTTTTTGAATTATCTCCACATCTCTCAGTTGTAAAAGCCCCTAACCGCCTCTGTCCAAACGTACTTTACGTATTTCACATAATTTACGGCCAACAGCTAACAGCTGCTCTTCAACCAAAAACGGTCGGAGATGGATTGATACAGACTGAAACGTGTAAAAAATGTGTGATTTCAATCAATGATAATTATTCGTCGCACATAATAATTTTGATACTCAATGCATACGAAATAATGACATGTAAATTATAATGACCTACTGAATTTGCATTGCTATCAGTGCAAAATCAGGAAAGGCAAAAAATAGTGGTTTTTTTTTCTTCATGGCCTACCCATTAAAAATTATTAATTGATTAACCTTTCCTAATTGTTTGATAATTTTTATGAGTGATAGCCCACATCACTTGTGCACTAAAATTGAATTAATTACATTTTGGTAATTTTGTTAGCTGTATCTGTAAGGAACTGAAATAATGACGGAAGGATTCCCTTCACATAATAGACTATTTTTGCTAATTTGTTATTTGCTTTATGTCTTATGGTAGACAAACAAAATGTTAGGGGAACATTTGTCAGTTTAAAAATTAAAAATAAATTGTTGATAAAGCTTTTGTTTGAGCCAAATTTGAACTCAATTGTACTCTGGTGGTTTAGCGTTTATGTCTCTTGTTCTGGAGGCCCGCGACTTCAAATTTTTCCAAACATCAAAATACCCATGTGACAACGCACATGCTGATTCGAAATTCTTAAACTGTTGAAAGAACTTTAAATCTCTAAGTCATGAAAAATTCTAAATATTGGAGAACTTGTTAAAAATGCAGACTCTATCTACCTTCAACAATAAAGGGCTCCACACTTTATTCTGATACAAAGTTTATAAAGTGATTAATCGTTCACACTTTTTCCTTCGTGGCTACCGACACTATTGGGTGATTTACATTGAAGTCACTTATCTATGGAAATGTCTTATCAAATTCTTCCACCGGAATGTTTTGGACTCTTTATTTATGTTTATTGCCTCCCCATCTTATCAATCTTAACACTTCCCTAATGGTTCTTCATTGTTCCCGACTTTCTTGGGGAAATTAATTGCTCATTGTGGGGTTCCCTACTAGATAATTTATTCATGGCTTGAATTCTTCTACCTGATACTGATGATTCTTAGTGTCTCCGGTAATATACGGGCTGAAGATTTGGTGCCGACGTTAATCTTTTCCGAACACTATAATTCTACTTAATTTCTCGGTACTTTGCACGCATGTTAACTTATTCTGCTTTAAGTCACAGCCATTGACTGTGGATACAGCTCTACATCCCATTCCAATGTTACGGTTTTAGTCAGTTTTATAACAAGTTAAACTAAACCTTCGATTGCGTTTCTGAAAATTTCCGAATTATCCTGTATACATAATCTTTTATTCAAAGCTGAAAGATTATGTTAATGTAAAGTACCATAGTACGGTATAAATAAAATAAGAGTGCATTACAACTAGGGCAGTCAGTCAAAATTAAAGTGTGTCTTTTTAAACGAAAATTGGCTAGCTGGTCCATATGAAAGGAATGTGTAAGATGGTTTATAAAATTCAATGATAAAACTTAACGTTAATGTAATTTTATTATTTTGGATGCTTTGTTTGCCTGGAGTGTTTAGCGTCTAGAATTTCTAGAGAGTGACTGATCTAAATAATCTAAATTTTCTAAATGTCTTGAATTCACTGCTTTCCCTAGAAATCATTATACAAAACGCCCATGGTAAGCTCCTTGAAATGTTATACTTTGTCAACTATGAAATTTATTGTGAGAATCGTACTTATTAGGAATTTAAATTATAACGTTTTTATTTTAGATTACTTAACGTATTTTTACCAATGTTCAAATCAGGAAAAAGATGATTACACTTTTAAATTATTCAGTAAGACTTTGTATTAAAATTGATTTAACAACAATATAATTTCGAAATAAATAATCTAAGGCTCGCAGGCTATTTAACTAGAAAATTTTTGAGTTGTCATTTACATAAAGATTTTGAATACATACCTTAAATGTTTTTTTTTTTTAGAAAACATACAAATGGTCAATTTCTATCTGACTTAAATAATCTATGCATATTGGAAACTTCACATTATTGTACAATCCTTAATCTAATGCATCGAAACACTAAAATTACGATGGGTAAAATAAAATACAGATATTTTCAACAAAGAAATTACATGTTTTAGGAAAAAAAAGAATTAAATAGCATGTATCGAATAAATTTAAATAAATAGGACAAATGATCGAGGAATGTAAAACAGAATAAAACAAGATAATAAGAAATAATAACAAATTTAGTTATATAAATGCAATTAATAATATAAATAAATAATAATGTATATCTTGAGAAGCTATAACAGTTGAAAAAAGTCTATTCTCAAAAATCTCTTGAATAAAATTCAAAAATATTGTTTAGAAAACGATATTTGTATACACTGCTATCATACTCATATTTACGTTGACAGGTTTTTGAAAGCGGCCCATACATTTTTAAGGGCTCTAAAACAACGTTTTTATCTAGAAGAATTTTAAACTACCACGAGATGAGACCCTCTCCACCAATAGTCTGTCAATAGCCGGGGGTTGTATCATTAATGTAGGGTACAAAAAGTCAAGTACAAGGCGTTGGGGTCTTTATCACCAACGATCTTCAGCTTGTTTAACGGCTAGTAATATCCGTCTGATGGGACTAAAAACATTTATGTCTTACTTTAGAAACATCCCCGTACAAGCGATATGGTGAATATTTTATCGAGGTTAGTTAATTTTTAGTAAAGAACGAAATTAAATATACTCATACTCAGGAATTTGTTTAAAGGGTAATCACAAAAGTTTTAGAGGGTAAGTAGGTAAAATCACTCAAAATATTCTATGTTTGTGAATATGCCGAAAATCAATCCTATTAGCCAACAAAAACGACACAATGATAACCTAGCCAATGACATTTTCTATTTTAGCTCCATCTAGGATACAATCAGGTTTTAAGACTTTTTCCTTAAGACACAAGCAATTCCCGATAAAAACTTATAATTGAAAGTTACAACTTACCGAATGTATTTAAACACTTAACTAACAAATAAGACCATACAGTAAATAAAACGTGGTTATACGTGTATCATTGAATTCAATTAATTTGTTTTATATACATGTACAATGCATGACATCATGGGCTTCCATCAACATGAGCAAGAGGGGGCCCAAGCCCCCCCCCCCTTTATGAGACTCTACAAATGTTTACACATTTTAAAAATAATTCAAAAACCCAATGAATATGTGGTAAACAAAAATATTTAGGTACAAAATGTGTATCGATAATTTGTTGTACGTATCAATTTTAAACAGTTTGTCAAGGAGAACCCCTGAATCCCCTTTTACTTGGTTATTTCTACCCTCCAACTCCCCAGCCCCCTCTTATGGGACAAAACGATGATTTAATACTTTTCAATGAAATGGCGACCATACAAAGTAGGTATTAAGCCGATGGACGCCCATGTTTTGATAAATACACTTTGACTTTCGTAGTAACATTTCACTGCGACGTATGTGTACTTTGTAATCATATCCGTTTCATTACCTACAACATTGACTATGGACTGCATATGCTACAAATTTGTATTTAACTCATCCAGGCTCTTGCGCCCTGACACTATTCAATACGAAGAGTCTTCGCCAATCCATGATACATCTAAGGAGCAACTTAAGAGTCTCATTGGGTCAATTTCAAACTGAAATGTCTTCGTTTTGCCCGAAAGAAGTTTTCTTGATCACTCGAAGAACTGAACAACGATCATCATGGTGTTCACAGTAAATCCAAAAACCTATAACAAAAAATGCTATTGGATAAATATAAATTGTATGCAAATCTTAAAAATAAACTATATACATTTCAACCTTAAGCGTTGCTAATATAAACTATCTTCAACTGATCAGTCAAGGAGTTATCTTATGGACTAGAAATTATGTTTAATTTATTATATTAAACCAAAAATACAGAACAATTTGAATTTATTTTAAGTACTACTGGAAAAGTGGTAGTATATTAACTCATACGATAGCTAGTCCATCTATATTAATGGGGATACATTTTTATAGGTATTCGGTATTGGTGATTGAGTGGCTTTAAGTAATATATTTTGCATCTCATAAATATTTCTTTTTAAGATTTGATAAGTTCAGAAAATTATATTAGTTCTACATTACTTTTCTTCCATTCGTGTTGGTAAGACATTATAAAAATTTTTTTCTTACCTCAACAATAGTCGAGTTGTCGACAGTAAACAGACCAAAGGCTGTAAACTCTACCGGGGTCATTTTCAGTTCCAAAATGAACGTTTCCAACTGGAAAAATAACAAAATGCTATTAGAAATGTTATCATAGTATTAGCAATACTTATAGTAAGTTAGATTTTTGGGGGAGCGAGCTGGCCTAGTGTTTAGAGCGTGGGACTTCGGTTCCTGGAGTCCCGGGTTCAAATTCAGCCAAATCACCAATGGATTTTATCTAAGTGATAATGCCGTAACCCCTAGGTCTAGCCTGAAGTAATGCGAAAAACAATTCCGGGCTCGTGCCTAGGGTCCTAGGACAAAAAAGGAGTAAGTTAGATTTAATTGAGGCAGACGATCAATGAATTAAAAAAAAATAGCCTATCATATAGCCTTAAGTCCCATTAACGTTGTTTCAACTGTAAATTTAGCTTGTAAATCGAATTCTTAGACTGAATTCTAATAAGATGCCATGGGTATTGTATCCCTTAGAGAAAGAACCAATTTTGATCAAATTAAAACATTGCGTTTGATGATCGAAAAAGTATTTATTCGTGCAAAAATTCCACACAAGAAATGTACAATTACCTTTTTGCGGTACTCGAAAGGGAAGTTTCCCAGACTTGCTTTGCGATCGATTTCCCAAACCCAGTTTTCAACCTGTAACAAACATTACCTCTGACCTTATTCTGGGGGATTTTTTATAGTTAAATTTATTTTGGTGCATCAATGAAGGTTTTACTTCACACTTTTTCTGTGTAGTAGTAGTAGCATTATCATTAAATATTGAAGAAAATTTAGATTAACCAATTAAACCGAAGTTAAGGGAGGGCATTACACAACTTACGCTTGACACGTTGAGTAATTTAAGATGTTGCATTGAACTTCAAAATTATTAGTGTTCTACCTTTAACCTACGCCTTTATTTTACTTACAACCATAACAATAGTATTAGTAGCACGAACACTTGTGAATTCCCTCAAACAGTTATACATTTTACTTTATAGCATTATGTAGTGAATTTTGATAGTACATTAAAACTCTGGAGAATCTTGCTACCAAGGTTCAGCTGTATTACTCATTCTACAAATTCGTTTTGTGAATCCTGGCATCGGCATATTATAATATTTATATTAGCCTATCATTTTAAATGTTTTCTAGGTCTGACTACATGTAATTAAAATTAATTTCCACTTATGGCTTGTTTAACAAAACACAATGACCGGGAATAGATCGGGCAACTTTAAACAATATTGTATACATACACCTTTGCCAATCTAATATCAAGACAACCCGTAATGGCACAAATACGACTCTCATATTTGATAGGTTGATCAATAGCGTACAACAACATCCCACCTCATTGTAGAGTTGGTTTGACGAATTCCCAATGAGAATCATTACGACGACCAGGAAGCAGTGATGAAACAAGTTTAGGAACGGGCTCAAAACATCTTCGACGTTCCCAAAATGTTGTTTCAACCCGTAAATTTGCCAATACGCTGCCAACGACCACCAGAACACATGAATTCCCGCCATGACGGAGATCAGTCCTTGAAAGGAATATGCCCTACACAATTTGTGGTTCAACTCCAAAAGTTTCCCAACTCTGGGAAGTGTCTCCAAGATGTTTTGAGTGTTCTCTAACAAGAACCGAATTCTCCTGGAGATTCCGATCTTCAAGAACATCAGCTGGAAAAATGAGAAGTTATCCAGGAACATCATACTATCGTAAAGAACCATTGTGTCACAAAGTAAGAAAGTTATGATTGCTGTTGTGATATTGAGTATGAGCGAGGCCATCGGAATGAAGAAAAAGTCACAGTTTTCACCGGGTTTCGTTTCGAATTCGGCAAGATCTTCGAAGTAGACAGTTTCTAGAGGGGCCATGAGGAAGTAGAGTCCAGTCAGACAGTCGGCGATTGCGCAAAGGATTGCACAGATTTCGAAGATACCCAAAATGGGCAACTCCTGACTCAAGTTTACAAGGTTGATAATCGAGAAAAGTGTCACGACATTGAAGATCATCCGAGGAATTCGGCTAAATCTTGTGGTTCGCCGCAACTTTGGAAAAGACAGCGGGTTACAGTCAAAGAAGCTCACTACCGCTGATTCGGTCAACATTTTCAGCTGATACACTGACACAGTTATTTGATACCTCGCCAGAACAGTGTGTTGGTGTAATGTACCATCGTTTATTTGTGGAATGGTGTCAAGTGGGTTTCAATTAATTTACCATATGGAGGGGTTGACAGGATCAATTTGCGAGAAATGACACATCGATTGTATGAATAATTTAAATAATGCTGAGTACATCACCGTTAACTTTATTTTCGTGTTACAATAATGTTATTAAAAATTCAGTTTCATTTTTAAATGCAATATTTGTTATTGATCGGAAGGTTTTCTCAAACTACATTCTAACGAGTTGTGCCAATTTTGATTTTTTTAACTAGATAGAGTAACAAAGCCCTATATGCTTAGGTATATTTTGCATAGCTATCAGTTTTAATTTACACTTAATTCAGCCAAACCTAACCCTAAATTTTACATTTTTTTATAGAAGCGGAAAAGTTCTCCAGGACCTTCTTTAACACTTTCTCCGAAATCACGTCTTACTGAGAGATATTTTTTGGATTGTTCTCTTTCCTTTTCCTAGACTCGCCAGCTTAATCTTTGGATAACTTTCTTTAAGCCTTTAGCCTACAATATTGTCATGCTGAAAGAGATTTTTCTGAATTGTTCTCTTTCCTATTCATAGACTTGCCAATTTAATCTTTGGATAACTTTCTTTAAGCCTTTAGCCTACAATATTGTCATGCTGAAAGAGATTTTTCTGAATTGTTCTCTTTCCTATTCATAGACTTGCCAATTTAATCTTGGATGACTTTCTTTAAGACTTTTTCCAAAATCACGTCTAGCTGAGAGAGATTTTATGAATTGTTGTTTTTCCTTTTCCTAGACTCGTCAATTTAATCTTGGATGACTTTCTTTAAGACTTTTTTCCTAAATCACTTCTAGCTGAGAGAGATTTTCTGAATTGTTCTCCTTCCATTTCCTATACCCATCAGCTTAATCTTTGGACACCTTTCTTTAAGCCTTTGTCCTATAATATTTTCATGATGAAAGAGATTTTTCTGAATTGTTCTATTTCCTTTTCCTAGACTCACCAATTTAATCTTGGATAACTTTCTTTAAGACTTTTTTCGAAATCAACTCTAGCTGAGAGAGATTTTCTGAATTGCTCTCTTTCCTTTTCCTAGACTCGGCAGCTTGATGGATACCTTACTTTAAGACTTTCTCAAAAAATCACGTCTAGCAGACAAGAGTTTATCGATCACATCTCATTGTCTACCGATCAAATTGACAGCTGCTACATCCTCTCTTGTTTTTCAGCCAGATGATTCTAAATATGCCATCAATCTCCAAGGTGTCTGATAGACATCGATACCAACATCGACATGTCGTCTTCTAACCTCTCTAACTCAATTATCATTATCGGATTAGATCTAGGTAATTACCAAGCCGGAAGTGGTTCGGATCTAGGAGCCGGAAGTACACTTTGGACGCCATTTTGTTCGTGCTCAGTCCTACCAACTGAATTATTCTCCATTGCTACCAACTCTCATGCTACTGATACCGTGCGCTTGATAGGATCTTATTAATTATTTTCTCCCTGAGTGAGTTTCGTGTTCCGCCGAAATAGTTTATGGTCAATCGTGTTTTGACAGTTTGCTTTTTTCGTGACTTGAGTTATGAAATATAATGCGATTGGTTTTTGAGTTTGAGATGCGGTTCATAAGTGCAAACATGGCACAGGACAGACTTAAATTATCAAATTTTATATACTTGTATTTTGGGTGTAAATATTTTAATTTGTATTTGTTTACAGATATTAATGTGTAGTAGTATCTTGCTAAACAAAACAAGTTTAAAATTCTGAAAAAGGATTTAAAAAAAAATTAGTTTAAAAAAACATATACCGTATAATTGAATTTCTTTAAATGACAAATAATACTCTAAATAATTTTTGAGAAAATGGCTTAAATATACATGTTCCAAAATTTTTTTAAATATTGACAAAAGTAATCATTAGTATGATGTATTTTAGCAATATTTTTTTGATCAGTTTTTCATGTGAATAAACTGAGTTGGATCGTACTTTAAAAGCTTTTTTCAAACTTTTCTTTCATTGGCGTACCTCTTCACCGAATCGCAGTGGTTTTAAACGTTGGGTAAAGTGTAATACAATTGTATTCCGGTGATGAGAAATAAATTCATAACCCTGTCATTAGTTTATTCTAAACATTTTCTGAGCTGATAATGTTCCTGGTGATTAAACCTAGATAGATATACTAAAATAAATTATTATATTAACTCACTTATAAATAACAAGTATACCTTCTTCCCGTTTGTAGCAATAGGTATTTATTTGAATAAAAAGTCACTTTGACGGTACTAAAAGATTAAAAAAGTTAGAATTTCTAAAATTTGTTTATTGAAAGAAATTATATTCAGGAACAACCATTGCTGAATTTCTCTTGTTGAATCAACTAAGAATGTTAATCCTCCCAATATCATGTTTACACTCATCCACTTGTGGTATTTCCGTATCATATGTTGTATACATTTTCCACTTATACAAATGGGTTCAGTGGAATAAACCTATCTTACTGTGGTGAAAATTTAGTTTAAAATACTTTCAAAAGTTTTACACCAATAAATTCGATGTCTAGGAAGCTATCCTTTCAGTTGAATAAACTATGATACTAATCCAACTCCATTACAAGCCTAGGATATCGGCATGGGCTGCTCAACACCAATAAAAGGTCCACATTCGTTTAAACAGCTCATCCGGTCTAATAGCAATAAATTTCTTTGACACTTTGGAATTGAATTCGTTCAGGGAAGTTCATTTAAAGAGACGGCGCGGATGCTAAGCCTGAAGTCGGTGTCTTTGAAGGAGCAGGTGGAGCTAGGACGACTATTTTATGGAGCAGTTATACTAATAGTGGTTGTAACGATGCTAGTGTCTTCATAGGAGAGAACCTTGTAGTAATCGCTTAAACATATTCATGAAGGGAATTTCAATGGAGAAATTTCCTGTAGACCTTGCAACAGAATTTCTTGTCTACCTCAGTGGTATTTTCAGGAATTGGAAACTTTTTGAAAGCTGCGAAGCTCAATCAAATATATTCATTTGTCAGAGATCGAACCCACTACTCTTGTACCAAAGTTCAAGGTGATCACGCAACACATAAGCAATTGACTAAATTTTTGTATTAAGTCAAATCATGGTTTTCAGTATAGACAAAAAATCATCGTTTGTTTATATTTCATTATGGCAATGTTACCTGGTCGAACGTCTGTATTGCAATAGCAACGAAACTAAGATATTGATTTGTTTGAGTTAGAAATATCCGCCAGCAGTTTCAATGGACCAGGTATCAACGTATGTTTTGATAGATGCAATGTACAAACTCCCCAGTTTAGGAAATTGTTAAATCCTCTAGAGCAGCTTCGTTTCTAGTTTTTCTCAGACGTGACGTAAAATTTAACATACGATATATGATGAGTTAATGTTTAAAATACTTCTATTCGAATTTTAAAAGCTAAGCAAGGAAGCCCTAAAAACTCAGTTACCCTAATCTT